TTTTTTGTGAAGAGACATATTTATTTACATTAAACAATAGAATAAGCGTGTGAGATGTGGCAACTGAATTTAAGTGCTTGTCTCACTGTAACTAATACCAGGTACAACTCACAGACCTGACTCAAAGTATACGAAAATAGAATTTTGATGACCCAAACCACAAGAGGAGAGGGTGGAGTGTCTTATCTGACCTCTCTGTATGTTCTGACTTATACTCACGTATATATTGATCTTCAATTTTATCCTTGGTTTAACTTTTTTTTTCTTTTGTTTCAAACTAATTATCATACATTACTGTACCCTAAAACGAAGAAAAAGAAAATTTAAACGAAGGATAAAATTAAACCACAACATATATTATCAGCTACAACATAAATACCCTGTACTTGGTACACTAATATAAAGGAAAAAGATATTCCAACAATTAAAAGTACGAAGTAGATTACTGTAAATTCAGTGCAAAGAAAATAATAAAATTCTAATCAGTCAGTTGCAACAAAATCGCTGTGCTAAATCTCTACGTTTCACGCGTATGTCACACAGCGCTTTGTTCAGAACACAGTAAGTAGGAGCTGAGCCCTCTCTTTCTTTCCAGTTCATGAACATGGCGTAAGCTTTATCGGCAATTTTGTCATTGTCTTTGTCAAATGCTTCCAACTCTGCTTTATCGAAGGTTAGCTGACGCCCAGGCGTTTTCCAATGGTCAGGGATTTTTTTCGACAGATCTTCTAGTTCATCGTCTGTTGGAATCCCTTTCGTCACTTCTCCTGCAACGACTGAAAAAAAAACTTAAAGGTACTATGTGACCGCATTACCTCAACTTACTTCGAACAAAAAAGGAATGAGGGAATCAATGCATGCAAGAAAAAAAATTGTGAAAGGAGTAAATGGTTTAACAGTGAAATTCACTTTTACGAGTGCATAAAAGGAAGATCAATGAGCTAATAAGGATGTGGGAGTGTGGTTGGGTAGGTGGGTGGTTAATGGGAGGTTGGGTTGGTGGCTGGGCAAGTGGGGGGTGGGGGGGGGGAGTTGGTCAGTGGATGGATGGATGAACTTAGCATAACTGGAAAAGTGCGTAAGTGAAGGAACAACAAAATTAAAAAGCGATTCCGGTAGTCCAGGCTTCTGTTGTTGAAACTGACAAATACAATAACCTGTTGCTTTATTAAATGTTTTCAGTTGTAGATTAATAGTCAAGGTAAAGTTCCTTAACCCATTTGCCCATGAACTGCCCGTAACCACCCGTGCGGATCCAGGTCCTTTCTACCCTTTGTGACGTCATCAGTTTTAACGGTCAAGGACAACTTTCTTTGCTACCTTGTGTAGAGTGAAGAGATCTTTCAAACCATACCAGAATGAGCACAATTTAGTCAAGGACAGCGGAGAAAGAAGCAAAAAAACCACGTGACATTGACCTCAAAATCTCCATGAAAATCTTGTTCCATTGCCCACCTACCTTTCCTTTCACCTAATCCTAAGATCCTAAAAGCTTAAAATTGGACTACGAGTAGTCCCCATTTTTCCTTAGGGATAGTAGAGCGAGCGAAACGCATCCGCGCGTGAAAATCACCTAACGCGAGAAAGGCGAGACGAAAGTTGGAAACATGATGACATCACATAGCCCTTTTCAAGCCGACATCATTGGCACTTGAATCTTTCCCCACCTAGTTGTGGGCCCATCTATCGGTAAACAAAAGATACATCCGGTTATAATTTCCCTTGGATATAGGCCCCCTCTAGTTTGCACAGAAATGAATTTGATTTTTTTTAAGCTTAAAAAAGCGAGAAAATTCACAAAGTATTTTGATGGGCACTGCTATGCAGCTTTTTTAGTATGGTTATAGCCAACTCCTCCCCACCCCCTCGTAAACCCTCCTAAAACCCTTACGAAGTTGAGCGGAAGTTGACGGTATCCGTGTTAGGGAGATTTTACTGAATGTCACTTTAAAGTACTTACTTGAATACAACAATATAATCGTCTTTAACTGGGGTTCCGTTTTCAGACTCTAATTCAGCCTCTTCGTCCGGCCCACTCACAATCATTTCTTAGGATCCCCCTTCAACTTCTTGCTCTGACAGGGTTACAATATCCTCTTCTGAACCTACTGAGATCACTTCCGCGGATGATTCTGTCCCAGAAGCCTCCGCAGTTACCGCTTCAACGTCCTCTTCAGCTTCTACTGCTACTTCCTCTTCTTCTTCTTCTTCTTCCTCTTCGCCAGCATCTGACGAGGATTTTTCGAGCAGAGAACTCATCTGTACTTGAAGGACTTGAAATTAAAAAAATAATAATAAAAATAAAATACTGAGATAATGACGAGTTTTAGGTTTCTTTACTTAGCGGTATTTATTGTCAACAAATGTGTTGTTAGCCATCGTACCTAGGCCAAAACTCGTAGTACCATAGAAAAAGCCTTTACCCTAAGAGTCGGGTTATTTAAACAAAGTCTGTTTTAGATCGTGGTTTAAAAAATCTTTGGACATCCAGATCTCAGCTCTTTCTTAGTACGTTGTTTTAAGAAGACAAATGCTTTTCCAGTCTATGCTATTTGCTTTCATGAAACAGTTCACGATAAATGGTCTCTGAATAAAAGCGTTCGGCAAACTGAAAATGGCTTAGCACGTGGTTTTGTTAGATACTGGCTAATCTCCGTTTAAATAACTGGCCCTGAAAGTTAAAAACTGGATATGATATATATCATATTTATGAGGTAGATATTTCTGTCGCTCTGATTCCTGTCGAAGGAATAGCATCCAAGTAAATAGTTATAAATGTATGGCAATCAAATCTTAGATCAGAGAACTAGCTGGTGATCAATTGAGGTCTCTGTGTAACTGAGCACCTACCCCTCCCCCTAAGTCAACATTAACGATTACTTCTCACCTAGGGCAAAATTGTGACTTACGGGAGGGGTAGGTGTCCACACCTGCGTCATGCTGGTTGTTGCTGTCATACAGTTTCGAAGCGAGGGGCCCGTTTCTAGAAAGCCCCACTAACATTTCCGGCCTGAAAACAAATATTTAAATCAAAATATAAAGAATAAGAGCGTGGGTCCTGGCTAGCAACTTCTCCATTTTGTTCCGATAAACGGAGACAGCTTTCGCAGAATTTCCCACTTGCGATAGAGAGAGATTCTGCACACGCTGGTTCAACAATCGAGGACTGTATACTTTCGTACAAATCTGACTTTATTCTTCACAATTCAACATTACACGTTCCATTCTACGATCAATTTCAATCTAACTAAATTTAACAAAAATGCTGCGTATATTAGCTAAAAAAGTCCAGACCCAGAAGAGTAATTCCGGCGTGGTCACAATAATCAAATGGGGTCTAAGTTCTTTGCTCACGTTTAACATTGATCCGTGGGCACTAATTTCAACTATTTTCCTATTAAGCGTGGGTTTACTTAACAATTATGGTGCTAATCCTTATGTGCGGTTAAGCTAGTCATACCCAATTAAATACAACATCGATTAATTCTAATTATCTTGTCCCACAATATTTCCTGTTACTATCTAATTATCTCTTTTAGCGGTAGCGAGATAATGGCTTACTTAATCAACTACTGAAAATTTAATGAAATAAGAAATTACAATCATAAGCATTCTAACGTTTCACACCAACAGCTTCTCGGGACATTCGAGAAACGGGCCCCCGGCAAACAGATGCTCGCACTCAGAAACCAGTTTGACAATTGCTCACTTCGAAATAGAGTGATAACCTGGGATACAAACTAGACGAGCGCAGGCATTTATAAGATTATTGGGGGGGAGGGGGGGTGGGGGGCGAATGTAAACAAACATGACGGACAGAATAGTGGAATGTTTCAGCGGAGTTAAAACAGCTCAAAATAGCAAAACAGAAGGTGGAATTGAAAGGAGAAAAAAAACATGAAAATTTGAAGCTGAAGGAAGACGATGTGCCTGGAGCAATTTTACCCCAAAACAACTTGCATGTCTCGTCAAGGTGGCTGCTCGACTTGTCCCCCCAAAACAATCCCATAAATGAGCGTGCGCTTAGTTTGGGTCCCAGGCTATCGCCCTTTTCCGAAGTGAGCTATAGAGAACAAGATTGATTAATTATTATTTAATAAGAAATCATCATGAAATGTTACCTTTCGGTGTTAGCGAGGTGCTTGGCTGTTCTTTCTCCCTCAGATCCTATAAGAGAAATTGGTTAAGACAAAACGGATTAGAGGTAAAGTATGGTACATGACAAAAGACACACCGGACTTTTTTGTAGGAAAAAGGTTTTAGTTTAATACCATACTTAGGTTCGTCATTTTTTCAAGTTTATAACCCTTTTTTGTTTACTCACAATGTAGCAGGAAAAGTAAAAAGTTAATATATAAAAATTTAATAATAAGCAAGGCATAGTCATAATCACACTCAGTAACTGACTTTCAAATCTTGCCTGTTTGATTACTGGATTTTCAAATGTACAAAAACTCATTTAAAAAAAGTGGTGTGCAATGTTCGATCTCAAACCAACGTTACTAGAATTTCATGACGGTGAGAATAAAATATCTCTACACTACCGAAAATCTGCTATTATATACAGTAAAAAACCGTTCATCAGAACCTACAAAGTGATGTAAAAAAAGACCCTACAGGCTAAACTTTTTTAGATTTAGACCACTATTTAAAACAACAACAAAACAATTGAAGCAAAAAATCTTGCGCATCAAGGAAAAAAAAAAGACATAAAAAAGGAAAATCAGTGAAAAGCAGTAAAAATCCGTGGAGAGTGGTCGTCTGCTCTGAGTGAGATCTTATTAAACATAACAATAATTTTAGTCATATGAAGGCAAAGACTATACACCAATAATATTATTAATGACAACTCATTTGCCTCATAAAATATAAGAATCTTTTTGTAAAGAACCTAGTGAATATCCTACACTCTGTGTGAACTGTAGTAAATGCCCAAAATAGGAGGACTCTTTACCATCAAGTTGGAAAACGGTAGGTTATTACAGTGAAGGTTATTAACCCTAAAAGTTTACCTTTAAGGCAGCAAGGTAGACTTTCACTCTTTCTCTTTCTCCAATAGAAGACGCCAGCTCTCTCATCTCATTAAGAAACTTCTTCTTAACAGAAGGTTCCATTTCAGTGTATCGTATTTCCCATAATCTTTCACGAAACATCAAATCTTCTTTTTTATATCTCTTACGAAGATCTTTCATTTTGAGTTCCTCGCACAACCGTAGTATTCCGTCGATCATTTTTTCTCTAGCCACCAACTTCACTTTTGACTCCTCTGCACGTTTTCCTTCTTCCCACTGCCTTTGCCAGGTTGCCAAGAGGTTTTCTTTAAATTTCTTAATACTGTTTTTCTCTCCAATGTCTTTATACAACTCTTCCACCGCTTCTTTTAGCATTAATTTCTCCTGTTTCTTCTCACCAACAAAATCGGACCTGATAAGGACTTTCTCAAAAAGCCCTATCTTTCCCTGTTTGTGCTTAAGAAGTTTTTCATGCTCATCGTGTCGACTACAGAAATCAAGTATCTTGTCCAAGAAGGCAGTTCTCTGACTAAGCAGTTTATTAAGTGCTGTATTGTCTGTTGCCTCGTCAAATTCATTGTTAAAGCTTTCCTCACTAATTCCTTGCATTCCATCATAGAACCAAAGTGCTTCTCTTTCGTATTTGTCTATGAGAGCTTTCTCTTTCTTATCTGTCAATCCAAACTTACTGGTTCTTTTCTCCAGTAGATATAGTATGGCATCAATAATCTCCTTGTTGTAAGGAGTAAAGTTAAATTGTGGAGAAGATTTCTCTTTCTCGTCTTTCCAGAAATCCTCACAAAACGCCAAAGCGTCTTGCCTAAACTTTTCTTTTTCTTTTTCTTTTTCAGTGCCTTTCTTTCTTAAGAATTCATGCATATCAAAGACACCTTGAACAATAAGTCTCCAAACTGCACTGTGGTTCCCAGCACCCAATAATTTCTCCATTTTCCAAGCTTTCAAGAAAAAGTCCAAGGCTTTGTCATAAGTCTCTAACTTTACTTGAATAACTCCCAGTTGAAAAATGCTTCGCACAGTATCCGGGTGATTTCCAAGAATTTCATGTCTGATTTTAAACGCCTTCTCTGCCTCCTCTTCGGCTTCTTTGTACTTTTCTTGGCGAACAAAAACATTGGCAAGATTTCTACGAAACAGTGCTTCATCTTCATATCCTAAACATTTGAGCTCTTTTAAAACTTCAAGAGCATCTTTGTAGCATTTCACTGCCATGTCATACTCTCCTTTGTGCTCATGAACTGTGCCAATCTGATTCTTGTAAACTGCCATGTCGGAGTGATAATCACAGCCGGATAATTCTTCTTGCATTTTAAGCGCCTTGTTGTAGAACTCGAGGGTTTTCTCCGGACTGTCAAGTCCGTAATAACAATTCCCTAGAGCGTTATAACACCTGGCAACATTGGTGTCAAGTTTTAACTCACTCTCCATGAGGTCTAAGGAGGACTCTAAACATTCAATCGCTTTGTGGTAGTCTCTGTTTTGGTAGTAGATTTCTCCCTCAAAATACAAGTAGAGCCCTTGGGTCAGCTTGAAAGATTCAGTAGATTTGTCAACAACTTGGTTTAACGACATGGATGCCCTCTGCAACACTTCAAAGGCTTTATGAGCACCCTGAGCTTTTAAGACCAGTCTAGCTTCCCAGCATTGTAGCTGAGCATGAAATAAAGAACCTGCAAAAAACGGACGCATTAAAATTATCAAATTTATTGACTTTGGGACGTTGAATCCTATGGAAACAATAAAAACACAGTGATAAAAGATCATTTCTCCATACAATTGTTATACCAAGCTCAAAGAATTAAAGAATTTCAAGATCACATTTTAAATGAAATTAAATTCTATTGAGTCACCATCATTGGTGTAACGGAAACTCGTATAATAAGTGGGGGAGATTTCAATCGTATACCTCAGCTAGCAGGATAGTGTTTTGAACCAGTCCTGAGGCTTCTATCTGCTGGGAGGGTTGGACGGTTCACAGATCAAAATTGTAAATACCGCACTAACAAACGAGTCTCTAATTCTTATTATCAAGGCCTTAGGATCGAATTTCATCTGCTTAACAACACGAAATCTATAAACGGTGTCACTTGCAGGCAACACATTAACGCTAACAAGTTCTTAGAATTTATACTTGTCTTGAATGTCTAAGCCATAAAATCAAAATATTCATCTAATGGGAGAGAAGATAATTTGACAGATTAGACCTATTTTGGTTACAATTTGACTTCATATTTTGACAGATTTGGTTTTAGGGGGTCTTAGTTTTCGTAATCTCAAAAACTAAGATGGGTCTTAGGAATTATAGGTTTTAGTTTTCGAGGGTCTTAGTTTTCGTAACACCCTGCGTAATCAGTTCTTGTTTTTTTGTTTAAAACATAAGCTTTCCAAAATTTCAAGCTTAAAATGTCTGCTTAAGCGAAAAAAAAAAAAAACAAGGCATGTTTGCATTGATTTCCCAAGTTTCTGCAGCTGACAAGGGAATGGTTAATTAAAGTAAACTTGTCTATTTTTCAACTAAAAAAACTTTTTCAAATTCGCGCTTGCTTGATTACATCTGAATTGCGCACGAGAAGCAAAACATCTTGACATCACAACCACGTTTACACACATTGTAATCTCATGCAAACATGCCTCTCAGCCAATCAGGGCACGCATACTATCTTAGTTATTTTATAAATATACAAAGATCAATGCTAAATAAACATTTAGCTGCCTTAACTTTGTTATACTGCCTTCCACCTCAAATGAGGTAGCACTTGAATGCCCACATAGCATTAATATTATTTATTATATAAACTGCAGTGTTTTACAAGGATTTCTACCACCGAGAAATGTGGTATCTGAACACACGTAAAAATACGATGTTTTTACATGTGAAGATATCGATAATTTCCCTGACATCAGGTTTGTCTCTTAAATTGTACTTAAATTCGTTGGTGTATCATCGAAACATCTTCGGGTCTTCCTCGAAAGTGCTTGGCAATCTTCGGAAATCTTCGGAACATCTTCGCAAATTTTCGGAAATTCTCGGAAAATGTTCGGGAACGTTCGTCTGGTCTTCGGGACAATTTGAAAAATCTTCGGAAATCTTCGGAAGGTGGTCAGAAATCTTCAGAAAATCATCAGAAACGCCGTCATCAGTATGTTTACATAATAAACAGAATAATACCTTACATGGACGCTTGGAGATATGGAATTTATCTTCTCGTGTTCACATTCGATATCTCACTCGTTCGCTGCGCTCACTCGTTTGATATCGATGTGAACACTCGAAGATAAATTCCATATCTCCGTGCGACCATGTATTATTCTCTATATTCATTCTATATTATTACATTCACCTTTTCATGGTACTACATGAAACATACAGTAAATCCACTAAAATCCCATAAATTTATAAATGTGAAATTTTAAACAGTTATGCAAACAGATTGTGTGAGTGCCCCATGGTAGTTTTGCATAGATGTAAAAAAAAAAACCTACAATCAATTAGCATGACTAAAAGCTTGAGAGCTTCCTCGACTCATTTAGAGTGTGACGACTTCAACTGTAGCCTCCCACCCAGACATTCTTAGGGGTTCGTCACGCGTTCCTGACCCACGAACATCTGCTGACTTGAGCGGAAAAAAACGTAGACCAATCACAGCAGACTTCCAGATCTGGGAAGTGCACTTCACGCTTGACTTTATAGCTCTGGAAAGGATCAGAAAGGTCGCATGAAAGGTGAAGACCTTACAGTTTTAGAACAAACTACTCAGTTAACTCACAAGCGTTCTTACTAGTGGCTACCCCCACAATCTCATTGAAAAAAATTATCTCGGAGGTTAAATTTGCTGAACGGAAGTCGGCTTTACTACAACGTGTAAAAAAAATTGTGCCTTTTGTTCAGTCTTACAAGGAAACCCAGCCATTGCATCACCCAAAGAACAACTTTATGAGCAAACAACATCTAATCCAGCTTTTACAGAGATACAATAACCCATCGCTTATCTCCTAGATTCTCGTCTGGAGCAAAAATCTTAGGTCACCTATCACACTCTACAGAGCTTGTACGTGTGTTTGGCTTGTCAATACTTTGACTTCAACATCGCCGATAGGATCTCCAGCTGATATTTGCGAACAATGGGAAAGGAATAATTTGATCTTTCAGTTCAGCAGACGTTCATGGGGCAGGAACACGTGACGAACCCCTAAGAACGTCTGCATGGGAGGCTACTTCAACCGGGGCCACCAAAGAACTTTCAGCCAATCAGAGACCATTTCTTTAACAAAACTGTTGTGTTTTTAACAAAATTGTTGTGTTTGAAGAACAGTTTGTTGTGTTTGCAAATATCAGCCACCATACAGATCTCACTTAAATACTGGAAAATCAGCAACGTGCAATCGCTCAAGAACTTGGAACCGGAGGAAAGTTAAAGAAATACAGAGTCCAAATGAAATGTCTGGCAACACCATATTGAGAATGCTTTCCCATCCCATGATCAAGCAACTTGCCCATTTTTGTTTCTCTTGTTGCTAAAATATCTCTCCAGGGATGCAAGAAAAAACGTTTTTTACAGCAAGCGAAAAGTTTAGGAGTAATAATAGTATTAGCGCTATCTTTGAATTATGTGATAGGTTATAAGGTTTAAATTCCCGTTCAGCCGAAGAGGGAAACTGGGATTAAGCGATGTCTTCTTGATAAAAACAGCACCCTGCACTAGCCCAGCCGTTGATATTCTTTCTTGTTGAATGCAAATGTTTCTGTTGAAGAATGACTTATCCTTCCTTTCTTTTTACAAACGAAGTTTCTGGACCCAGATCTAGAATGATGACTGTCTAGTTGTAGTAAGAAGAAAATACAATACAGCGGTAAAGAACACAGTGCGATATTTTCAAACAATGTCTTGTAACCAGAACGCTTTTCCCCCAAAGATACAAAGCTTTTCTATACCCCTTACCAAGCAATATTACTTATAGCCAGCCCTTTAATATGTAAGCAGCTTGTATATTTTAGAAAAAGCAGCCACACAAGAAAGACGAGTAAGTGTATATGACACACCATTCTAGATGGCGAAAACATTTATAATCGAAACTAACCAATTGGAAAATTATATAGGACAGTTCCTGATGAGGCCCGCACGCCTAATTCTTTGTTAAAAGAGCGGTTTCTGATTGGTTGAAAGTCCTAAGGTGGCCTCGATTGAAGACGTCACACTGTAATAATAAGACTCATTATGGTACAGTACAATGTAAATTCTAACTAAGTTTAAAAAAAATTTTGCATACCTAACTTTCTGTCATTTGGGCACATCTCTGCCCAGGAATGGAACACCTCAATCATTTTCTTTTCAGCTAATACAGCATTAAAAAGGGATACAATCAATGTAATTTCATGGTATCCACCAGGAACACTGAAGTACTCTGAGAGCAAGGAGATGTCAATTGCAAACTCAAAGTTTGGACCATCTCTTTGAAACTCATTGAATGCTTTGATGTCGCTGGTCTTCATTAATCCAGCAATTTGTTTCATCTTCGACATGAAGTGCTCGTAAAATCTTCCCTTGGCTTCAGTGTAAGAGTCACAGAACATGTCATCATTTTTAATGCTTTCAGCATACTTTCTTAGAAGTGGATGAATGTCATAGATCAACTGCGTGGCATCTTCGTCAGCTACATGAATAATTTCATTGGTTACTAGTCCTTCAAGCTGTGCCACTGCTTCGGACATGCTCACATCAAGAATTTTGGCAGCATTGGAAGCAGTAAAGGGTCCATGAAACAAGGATACTGATACAGCAGAAACCCTCAAAATGTCAGATGGTAGAGTATCAAACATTTCTCTTATCACTGATATTTGCTCACCATCAATGCCTTCTTCTTCTGAATTAAAGGGTCGTTCTTCTGTATCCTCTTCATATTTTGATTTCACAGGAACTCCAGCTTCCTCTTTAGAGTTCATTTCTATCTCATCAATCAGATCACTGGGAGATTTTCTCCTTTGTTTCAAAATTGCAGCTGTTCCCTTCAACAGTAATGGGACTCTTTTGCAGATGTCAAGAAGCTTCTTTTTCTGCTGTGCCTCAACATGAAATGTTTCTGTGGGTAGCAAGATTTTCTCTGAAAAATTATTTGTAAGAGGTTGCAACTTAAAATCAGAAACCTTCTCTGAATTATTCAGCTGAGTCCTTGAAGTCAGAAACACATTTAATGAACCTGTCTTGCCTTCTAATCCTGACAGTTTCCCCAGGAAGTCTAAAAACTGTGTTTTTAAGTTCTTTCCCTCCTTCCCCTTTCCTTCAGTGAACTGCTCGACATTGTCGAGAAGTAAAAGAACAGGATGGCCTTCGCTTTTCTCTTTCAAAAGGCCACGAATTCTTCCAACGACAGTTACCACATCTGAACGACCAACTGGGAAGTTTATGTCAAGTTTGCCCATGATGTTCAGATAAACTGCCGTCATTTCTTTAGCTTCTCTTAAATCAAAGACATATTTCTCACGAATGTCGGTCGTTTCGCCAACAAGTCGTTTCGCCTACACTCAGGTCGATTCGCCCACACGATCAAAAGTTGTTTCGCCTACACAGTTGCGCTTGAAGTTCGATAAAAACAAGTTTTACCTTTTACCTAGTTCAGGCGTGTCAACAACCGATCTTTCCTCTCAATCAGGTCGATTCGCCTACACGATCTAAGTCGTCTCGCCAACACAGTTGCGCTTGAAGTTCGATAAGTATTAAACTAAAACAAGTTTAATTTTACCTTTTGCCGAGTTCAGGCGTGTCAACAACCGATCTTTCTTCACTGTCGGAACAATCGGAACAATCGGAACCCAAGATGTTTTTGTGCCTTTGATTACTGATTTTTTTGGTATCTTTTGAAGTAAAAAAGGAGTGCCACAACAAACACAACTCACGCGGTAGAAGTGTCAAAACGCCGCCATCTTGTTAGCACGTGCTCTACAATTCACGTGATTAATGAACACAATTATGACGTCAAAGATTAAGACTACAGTAGGCGCAGGCTGAGACAAAAGGTAAAAGCTCAAATGATATCACAGCAATATCGTCATGGTAAGAGGAGAATGTTGGGAACGTCTTTATATATATTGACTCTCTCTATATATATTTTACCAATTTTTATTATTTACAACCAAAACTACTGCATGCAGAGATCATTTTTGTTTTACCTATTAAACTCGGGGACATGTGGGTATCCAAGTGATACCCGCCCCTTAAATAATATTTTGAAATTCTACTTACTTAACCTACTAATCTGAGATGACTTCTAATCTAGTAACCTGTTACACTCGGGCCAAAAGAAAGCCGGAAGTACTTAGTCTTCCGCGGCTGGAATAGTCACGCGAACCTCACCTCTAGTCACGCATTTTTCATATAGACCTTGGACAGGGTAAGTTTAACCTAGCTGTTTTGGGGACGGATGTCTGGAACCGGAATAAGCAAACCCCAAATTTCAGTCATCGTGTTAAACCATTCTCTGTTACAATGAAACCCAGGCAAACGACACGAAAATGACGTTGCCTACTCTAGCCCAATTTCCTTCCCGTTTTCCCCCGCCCCAACTAAAAAAAATTGATAACGGCAATTAAAAGTAACAGTATCAGGGGTATAACTATTTTCATGAAAGAAATTAGAATAGGCTGGGAAAAAACAACAACATGAAAGAAAAAAGTTAAAAGAATAAGGTTGAGACATTTAGCCAAACCTGTTTCCCTGCCCATTGGTTTACAAACAATGACGACCTTAAGGCCGATAACTGCAATCATAAAACCGAAGCTGAGGCCCCTGAAAGATGTCGGGGACAAGGAATCTTGTCTTCCAAGTCAAATTCTTCACCCACTGTCCCCATTCAGATTTTGCCTTAGTGGCCAAAATACATTGCGCCTAGAACTTTTCCAGTCCAAAATAGGCAAATATTAGTCCTCATTTTGTCCCTTTTTAATCAAGGTATTCATATTGAACGTGTATGGACTGGTGGAACAGTTTCCTATCGCGCATGTTAGATTTAATATCATAGATACAGTACTTTATTTAAACAAAAAAACGTTGCTGTAAACAAGATGCCCTGTACATGTAGCAAAATTAAAAGGAATCTATGAGAAAAATTAAAGTATATACATAAAATATCAAAATACCTATACATATGTTAAAAACAGATATTAATGAAATAAATAAAATATATAAAACTAATACTGTAAACCTATCAGTTTCCCTGAAACACTTAACAACTACACGTTTAGAATTACGTGTAGAGAGAATAACAATTTTTCAGTTTTGAGAGTGGAGTGTCTGAGTATAGAACGATAATTTTTTTTCTTTTTTGTGAAGAGACATATTTACATTAAACATTAGAATAAGAATGTGAGTTATAGTAACTGAATTTAAGTGCTTGTCTCACTGTCACTAAAACCAGGCATAACTCACAGACCTGACTCAAAGTATACGAAAATAGAACTTTGATGACCCAAACCTCAAGAGGAGAGGGTGGAGTGTCTTATCCGACCTCTCTGTATGTTCTGACTTATACTCACGTATATATTGATCTTCAATTTTATCCTTGGTTTAACTTTTTTTTTGTTTCAAACTCATTATCATACATTACCCTACCCTAAAACGAAGGAAAAGAAAATTTAAACCGAGGATAAAATTAAACCACAACATATATAACCGGCTACAACATAAATACCCTTTACTTGGTACACTAATATAAAAGAAAAAGATATTCAAACGATTAAAAGTAAGAAGTAGATTAATGTCAATTCAGTGCAAAGAAAATAGTAAAAATCTAATCAGTCAGTCAGTAGCAACAAAAATGTTGTGCTAAATCTCTACGTTTCACGCGTATGTCACACAGTGCTTTGTTCAGAACACGGTAAGTAGCAGCTGAGCCCTCTCTTTCTTTCCAGGCCATCAACATGGCGTAAGCTTTATCGGCAATTTTGTCATTGTCTTTATCAAATGCTTCCAACTCTGCTTTATCGAAGGTTAGCCGACGCCCAAGCTTTTTCCAATGGTCAGGGATTTTTTCCGACAGATCTTCCAGTTCATCGTCTGTTAGAATCCCTTTCCTCACTTCTCCTGTAAAAACTTAAACGAATCGACCGAAATTCAGTTAGTTGAGGTACTATGTGACTGTATTGCTCCACACTGACCCTAGACCAAGGAGGAATTAATAACTGTGTGTAAGCAAGCAGAAGAGCTAGGAGACCGTCTCATTGGCTTATATTCTCTCATGCATGGCATGCATGAGAGAATATAAGCCAATTATTGACCCAAGAAATTCATTTTTATGAATGCAAAAACGATAAATAGAGTGGTTTTCGTTTGAGTGTCGTAAAACCAAAACCAAAGTAATTACTCTGGCCAATCACATAGGACACAGAAAATACGTTGAACCAATCAAAACTCAAAGTAATTACATGTGGCTGACGCAAAGCGCGGGAAAATGCATGCGAGCGCGTCACAATTGGCTTTGGTTTTACTTCTGATTGGATGAAAAGGTGGCGCGAATCTTTTAAACCAATCGCATCGTGTAGAAAGTGCAAAACCAATTACTTTTCGACACTCAAATGAAAACCGCTCTAATAAACTGTGGGTAAGTAGGTGCATGCCTACGGATGGAGTGAATGGATGGGTGGGTAGATATCTAGTTGGATGATGTAGACATTCATCAATAAGTGAGGGAGAAAAGGGACGAAAAAATTTTCAAATGGAAAAGATTGAGCGAACAGATACACAAACTCACGAAAAAATGATGAACAAATCGGCCAATAATCAATTGATTAGCCACTGAATCAGCCATTTAACATATGCAAAGTTGGGAATAGATTGTCGTGAACGACATCTGTATTAAAGGTATAAGAACAATTAATTTTTACTTCCTTTCCTTGGGAATTCCAGAGGCACCCAACGTCAATTTTCGGAAAATATCTGTTCGGAAGACGATTTGAGATCTAGAATTTTCGGAACATTTGTTGTAAAATTTCTTGCTTGTCTGTCTCTCCTAGGATTTTCGAACATCTACAAAATGGTATTATTGCCCATTTTTAAAGAATTTTTAACCTAAAAAGGTCACCTAGAATTTTCGGGAGCCTTTTTTCTGGCTGGAATTTTCGAAAAGGGAAGTTTTAGGAAATCCGAACAGATGAAAAATTTTTAGGGGATAAAAATATGCCTACATCTACCTTTTAAATACTAAAATACTTTAACAATGCTGTGTTTAAGTGGTTTTGAACTATATTCTCGTTAGGTACCCCTGGAATTCGTTGAATTTACAGTTCTACAATCTATTATCTAACATTTTTGTCCTCCAAGTTGCTTGAACTAGTATTGCATGTGACTCAGGCTTCAGGTATACGAAAGGGATACCTTTTCTGTCCAAAATGGTATATAAAAGGGTAAGCTGTTAGACCTCAGGGCGGAACCTCCCCGTATAAAACTTAATTGAGTATACCCTTCTGGACAGTTTAAGCAGCTTTTTGCTTCCAGGACCTGATTTCCTATTTTAAAAATACGACTTACCACACTATAGGTTTACTGAGTGGGGATCGGTAAGTATAATGTACACAACGAAAGATTTCTCCCCGTTGGTTGGAAAGTGTTACGAAATTCCACTTGTGCTGTGTGTTGGTCATTTATCAGGCGAACTTTCAAATGAGCCTCAAACGGAAGATCTTCTTCATATAACCTGTTAAAAATACAATAATATACACATAATTTATACAACTAATTCCAAAAACCATGTCCTCGAAAGATGCTAAAAAGAAAAATGGAAAATGGAAAAATCCAAACAGGAATAAATTAGACATACTAATAAACCTAAATAGGGTACATTCATTTGCTAAATGGGCGATTTTAAGGTGTTAAAACAAATGCAAATGTGAAGAGTCGATAAAGTGCTCCCACAGAGGTTTCATTTAAAAGGCTACATTATTCACTCTGAAAATGAAAGGGTTAACAGAAAGGTCTCATTACACACTTACAGGATTCAAAAGGTCCAAACATTCCATTATGTCATTGTTCACTTCTGCTTTTCCTATTCTTGTTACTGCGATCATGAGTTTCCTAACGGTGGCATCTTTTCCTTTTTGCTGACACCAGGCTCGGAGTGTTACATAGCAGCATTCCTCGTCATCAATTTCCTCCACTGATATATTTTTAATTTTTCTGTCCTTAAGCTCAAGTTCCCTTGCAAGTTTTTTCCACCATGATTCCACTTTTTGTGACACCTTTTTTATCACTTCAGTTTCTTCTCCTAAGGGCACAATAACCTTCTTACGTGCTATAAAAAAGAAGAAGAAACAAAAAAGGAAGGATTGAGAGGTATTAGTGCATGATTGCGTCGAGGAAAATAGACAGTTGGCAAGCTCATTCACAGGAGTCCTATCCTTCTCGTCCCCTGGAGCGAGAGACGAGGAGAGGAGAACGATAAGTATACGAGAGGATAATGGGAACAAGGCTGGACAGTTCGCAGGCCTCCGTAAAGCGG